CGACCAACATCAGCTCTTCATCAGGTGCATAAAAAGAAACATATTGACAGACATTCTCGTTTCAACATTTCTAATACCATACAAAAAATAGGTTAAAAAAGCTTCATTTTGCTGCATCCCAATAAATTTCCAGTTTCCACCTTAGCCCCGCCCTGATTTTGATGTCACAGCACACCCAAGCGATGCTGTGACATCACTTTGACATCAAACTCCTTTGACTACCCCAACAGATTAATATTAGCGAATGTAATTACTGTTTGACGTCTGTTTTTATTTTTACATCAACTTTTCAAAAGTGTTGCAGGTTAAAAAACTGTCATTTAGATAGAAAAGCATCATTAGTGGTATTTAATCTGCCATCACAACAATACAAAATATTAACTGTGTCATGTAAACCCTGCAAAGCCTAATTTAACTTTAACATGAGTTGATGTTTTAATGGTGTTGAACATAGATGATGTAGCTACTATTTAAATTAGATCCTAACTTATAGTTTTCCCACTACAAAACCAAAGCATATAAGAGCTATTCTTGTGTCCTTACTGTAGTTTTCAAGTGAAACTAGACTGATTTTGATTTTGCGAATAGGCTGCTGTGTGTTTGAGGGGGAAAATGGTGCAAAAAGTTTAAATAAGGGTCCAGAAATCCCCTCTGATCAACAGGTTTTGTGCAGCTGGAGGCAGTGTAGCAGCAGTAAATCCTCCTGCATCACTCAGACTCAGCTGACTTGCAGGATTTTGGTATTAGCAGCCTGACTTTGTAATTGAATCCCTGAGAATATGAAGCATAGACAGTAAACACAAGGCCTTGCCACTGATCACTGAAGCAAGCTGTAGCTGCTGGGTACATTGAGGTGCACATTCTGAAACCTATTGTGTTTTAAAGAGCACACTGACACCAGCTTTACAGTATTTTAAGCCAAACTCCCTTTACATTTCATGTAATTTAATACTCAAATGTGTGGACATACATGTGAGTTAATAATCTGGAACAGTGACTGATGAGAGAGGAATGATGTTATGTGATAAATAATGACCATATGAACATATGATTGGGAACTCTGGTTCTCCCTGATATGGTTTCCATAGAGATTCTTCCTTTTGGGCTCTGTTGGCAGGCAGACTGAGGCAGGAGCGGATCCAGTTGATATTCAAAAAGTTTACATTCAGCAGCATCGGGCCGTGCGCGGTGAGGATTAGGACGCAGAGGACTTTTTCTCCTTCTGGCGGAGGTGAATCTTCATGTGCCTCCTCCTCTCGTCACTCCGGGCGAACTTTCTCCCGCACTGGTCGCAGGAGAAGGGTTTCTCTCCAGTGTGCGTGCGGATGTGGGTGGTGAGGTGGTCGCTGCGGCTGAAGTTCCTCATGCAGATGCGGCACTGGAAGGGTTTGTGGCCGGTGTGGATGCGCAGGTGACGGCTCAGCTCGTCCGACCTGGAGAACCGGCGGTCGCAGCTCTCCGCCGGGCACGGATACGGTCTCTGGTGGACGGGCGTCTTGCTCGGACGGTTCGGGTACTTCCTGGGTCTCAAGATCGGCCTGAGAGGGAGGTTCTGGTGGCTCGGGAAAGCGGCGGCCATTGGACCCTCGACGCCTGGCGAGGGCGCGCCGAGCGTAAAGTTTCTGATGGTGTTGAGAGGGGTGAGAGGCGGGGGCACCCTGAGGGAGTCTAGCGGGTACGGGAGGGATTTCCTCTCGGGGAAAGACGTCTGGATATCTCTCTGGCAGCTCTGCTGGTAGAAGCCTCCGTACTCAGGCATGATGGACAGCAGCGCGGCGCCGTCTACTGTCGGTTTGGGCACAGAGTTGTAGGACGGAGACGGGTGGTAGGACACGGCACAGGTGGACGTCGCCAGGTAGCCCCCTGCCGACTGGTCTTGGTACATGTCCCCGCTGCAGGAATAGGAAGGGTGAGGCTGGGAGTGAGGGTGAGGGGGCGCGTACATGTGACCGAGGTCCGGATGACCGTGCGCCATGGTGCCGTCCCCCGCCTCCGCTGCGTCTCCTCCTCCTAAATCTCGGGTGATTCTGACTGCGATCCAGGCAACGTGACCGGTCCCGGGGTGGCGATGTCAGCGCTGACCACGTTGATAACGTCCCCCGGTGTCCACGGTCCTCTTGCGCTTCTGGAGTCCACCGAGAACTTGCCGCTAAACGCCACAGGCTGCGTGCGTAATGTTGCTACGTACTGCGCCAAGTCGCCGTGGAGAAGCAGCCCAGGTGCGATTCTCTCCTCGAACAGAAGGTCACCTGAAAACAAGGAGATGTACACTCGGTTAGAATGAAAACAAAGGATCATATTAACCTTTTCATCTTATGGCAGCACTTAACGACGATTGATTGACTTCATCACCTCATTAGAACATTTCTGGAGCAACCAAAGTCAGAATGTTGCACTTTCACTCAAACCTCTATATTTACCTACAAATGACAAAATCTTACCGCTTTCACTCTCATCGGGTTTCCCTTCATGCTCTTCCTCCCCTACCGCCTCCTCTTTAAAAACAATCCCCTCTGCCCTGTACACATCTTTAGGAATACTATCTACAATACTGCTAAGGGACACGGCATCAACTACTTTAGCAGCCATTCTGTCTTTTGAAGTGGAGATCTGCCGATTTAAACTAATATCCAAGTCACTGTCTCCAGTTTTCTGCCTCACCGACTCTCAAACATTATAAATATTTCCCCGCATTTTCTCTGTTCCGCCTCTCACCTCCTGCACGGTGCAGTATGGTTATAAAGGGGATCTCTGGGTGTCCCGTTACGTCATTCACCAAATATGGACTTGGGGGTTTTTTTAAAGAGGGAACTCCAGAAATAGGGCTGGTGAACTCACAGTGTAGGAACGTGGAAACAATTAAAAATTAGGATGTTGGCGTTGAACGACAATACAAGTAAAAAAAAAAAACTGGATCTGAATTTGGGGGATTTTATTTTAACATTTATCAGAAACATCAGCTTCATGCTGCTCTCAGACTCGTCTATAAAACGGGGCACAAAGCTCCATCTTTCGGAATTCCGGTGACACTTTCTCCATAAATGGATTCTCCGGTGAGGTGAGAGGATCTCGGTCAGCTTATATGGCTGGTATCCGGATAAAACTGCTTGCATTGTGTTGTCTTTGTGCCAGCCGAGCCCACACACTGACTGCACGGACCCGTTTGTTTTCTCTCTTGCCTTGTCAGGAACAGATTATTGCTCTGACTGAGTCTTGCTATTGTCGGCCCTTTCAGATAGATGGGGTGATTAGTGAGAGAGTTAACTCTTTTATTTGTATTTCCGTGGGAAGCTGGCTGGTCTTGATGGTGTCTCTTGTTAAAAAATGCGTTTATAAAGTTTTATGAAGAGGCAACCACAGGATATGTTGCTGATAGAGAGATAACCTGCAGCTGCAAATATTTCTGTATTCTGACGCTGGTCCTTACTTTTAGAGCCTTGCAGGGACAGTAATTCTAGTAATACTAATACTAATAATAATAATACATTTGATTTATTTAGTGCTTTATGAGGTCCGCAAATGCACTTTAAAAGGTAAAAAAAAGACAAAACAAGATCAGCATAAAAAACATGATAATTAATTAATTAATTAACAATTAATGTACAATACTATGCTGCAATTCTGCTGTTATTTATTCGCCCTTACTTATTTCTTTAATAATGTAAATATTGTACATATCTATGCTCCTTTATATTTGTCTTTATATTTTTTTTACCTTATATTTATGTATTTCATTATCTACCTTCTTTCTATTATTATTTCCTTGCCTTGATGTGCAATGTGTGCAACTGTAACGCAGGAATTTCCCCTCTGGGATCAATATTTCTGATTCTGATAACAATTAAAGATAACTATTAAAAGACTATGAAAGCAAAACAGCATTAAAACTGGACAGAAACAAAAAGACAACAAGCAGCTTTAAACAGATGGGTTTTGAAATTTGCAATGCGAGGTGATGAGGGAGAAGTTCCAGAGGGAGGGGGCGGCAATGAAGAAGGTCGTGTCCCCCCAGGTTTGGTACTTGGGGAGGGTGAGAGGGGAAAAGAGGTTGGCGTCTGTGGATCAGAGGTTGGGAGTATGACGAGGTTGAGAGCTTTGTAGTGGACGAGGAGGATTTTAAACTGGGTTCTGTGTTGGATAAGGAGCCTGTGGAGGACTGGAGTGATGTGGTCTCTGGTGCTGGAGTGAGTGAGTAGACGGGCTGCTGAGTTTTGGATGTTTAGAAGTAATTTTGAGGGATCTGGTGGGTGTGATGTTGCAGAAGTCCAGTCGTGAGGTGATGAATGCGTGGGTGTTTCAGCAGCTGAGAAGAGAAAGGAGGGACGAAGACTGGCAAAGTTTTTGAGATGGAAGTGTGCAGATTTTGTTACATCATTGATGTGGTGTTTGAAGGAGAGGCTTGTGATTAAAGATTACGCCGAGGTTGCGGATGTTTGTGGATTCTTAAACAGTAGAAGCATCGATGCGTAGGAAGAAAGTTTTGGCAGGATTTGATCGTTGTTGAGTTTGAGAAAGTTTATTTGCATCCATGCTTTTGTTTCTGAGAGGCAGATTGTGTGGGTGGAGTAAGTGGCAGCAGTGATGGATTTGGTGGAGATGTAGAGCTGGGTGTCATCGGCATAACATATGATGTGAACAAGGAGGACAAGCTTCTCTTTACACTTGTGACTTGATACAACCTCATTCTTATTGGTCATCAGGTTAGAGGCTGTTTGTGGTTCCTCACACTTCTTTTAAGACCAGAGGAGATCGATCATTTCATGCAGGGACACCTAAATTCTGGTGATTCTTTTAAAAAGCAATTAAAGACTCAAACAGGCTTTTAGTCAGACGAGTTGACGGTTTTATGACCATCTGAATGATATTTTTTATGTATTTTTACGTTTTTATGTATTGTATCTCACTTAATTATGAGGCACTTTGTGATTTTTATCTGCGATATATGCTAAAAAATGTTTTTTTATTTACTTTCTTACTACAAAAGACGCTGTGCTTTTTAACATAAAATCCGTTGAAGACACAGTGCCCTGTTTTTTGAAATACTAATATGGTTTCTGCCGCACTCACACGTATGTTGTTTTCCTCTGAACAGAGATCTCTAACAGCAACCATCTCCATCCATCCATCGTCAACCGCTTATCCTGCGTACAGGGTTGCGGGGGGCTGGAAGGATACACCCTGGACAGGTCGCCAGTCCATCGCAGGGCCACACATAGACAAACAACCAGTCACACTCACACCTAAGGACAATTTAGGGTCACCAATCAGGCCGCATGACTTTGGACGATGGGAGGAAGCCGGAGCACCTGGAGAGAATCCACGTAGTCACGCGGAGAACATGCAAACAAAGGCCAGGACAACCGGGGTTTGAACCCTGGAACGTCTTGCTGTGAGGCAACAGTGCTATCCACTATTCCACCGTGCTGCCCACAATCTACTTATTAAAATGAAATTAATAATAAAAACAGCTTCCCCGTTGGGTAGATCTGACTTCCCTGTTCTAAAACACACAAACTTTTTTTTTTAACAATGTTTTTGTGGTGTTATCTACGTTTTTGAGGGTTAAATAGGTCAAACGTTCTGATTCACTCCTCTACAAAAGAAACATACATTTTTCTTATCAGTTCTTTCTAAAATCAGAAATTGCTCATTCCCACCAATGCAGTTTCATTATACCTGCTCTTACTTCCATGGTCACGGGACAAGTAGAGTGGAAGCCCAAAGCAATGAAACACAAAAGACAAGTTACCAATTCAGCTAACACGGTTCAGTTCATCAGGAAGCTACTGCTAATTTAACTCTCCACAGATCAGCTGTCAGACAAGAGAACAGGCTAGTATTTGTCATCGACCTCCTGCACATCTGAAGCTTTTTCAAAGACACAGGGTTTCTGTTCGATACAGAAACAGGCTCTCTTTGTAAATAAGAGGCTTGGATTTATCCAGATGGAGTGATATGCTCAGGTGTTGCAGACGGATCTTAGAGGAAATTTTAACTTTGGACAAGAATCAATGTCATGATTTTCTTATAATATGTACAAAAAGGAGTGGAGCGTTTGAACTCACTGCTGGTTTCATACTTTATTATTCCTCTGGTTGACCGTTTGTGGTGGTAATGTGCGAAGAAAGATAGCAGGGTACCAACAAATGCGAGGAAGAATATTTAATATTTTACTTTAAACATGTTTGTCGACACTGAAGAAGGTCCGGGTTCAAACCTTGGTCGTCTGTGTGGAGTTTGCATGTTCTCCCCGTGTCTGTATGGGCTTCCTCCAACCGTCCAAAGACACGCAGTCTAATAGGTGAATTGGTGACTCTAAATTGCCCTAAGGTGTGATTTTGAGTGTGAGTGGTTTTTTGTTTCTATGCCGTGTGATGAACTAGCGACCTGTCCAAGATTTACCGTGCATCTTGACCCAATGTCAGCTCTGATTGGCTCCAGTCCCCCTTGTTACCCTGCACTGATAAACGGGTGTAGATGATGGATGGATGTTTGTCAGACCTCAAGGAGAGACATGATGTGTTTTGGTGAGAAACAGTTAATGTAAACAGTAACTGTTCATGTTTGTTTGTCAGGAAACTCCCCAGAGCCTTTTTAATGTTGGTCACCGCCACCAGTTTCCAGGAAAAACGCCCAAAATGAATCAGTAATATCTCCTCAACCATTAGGCCTAGATGCATAATTCTGGTCTCTTTTAAAAGGTCAGAAGCTAAGGAATATAAATCCATTAAATTAACACATTTATTTTTACCATTACAGACTATGTGGAGATGCAATAATGAAAAATATGATATTTTTCATCCTCACCTGGTAAAAAAAGCTATATTTTTAATGCAATAAACCATCAAAGGCATCATAAGATTATAATGCAACTGAAAATCTTCTAATATACCTGGAATGCAATTGTAACAGTACATTAGATGAATATAAACTATAATACAACAGTTATCATACAATATCTTCAAAATATACCAGGCGAATGTCCATATTTTGGCAACATTTACTGTTTAAATGTTGACTTTTATTGGGAGTTATCTTTAAAACACTATTTATGTCCAAAACGGCGATAACGGCAAAAGTAAGCCAGCGGTTTTAAAGATTGCGTTCTGTTCAACAGGTTTTAAAAGAGTAACCTACTGCATCGTTTCACTCACGATGGATCAAAACCGAAGCAGCAGAACCAGACACACATTCTTCAGTTTATAAAACCTGGTGCCTTCATTGCCCATAATGCAACTCAACCGCCCACAGTTTGGTATGAGATCCAGGTGTGTTATGCTAGTAGCAGCTAACGCAGCGTAGAGGTCTGGTGAGCTCACGTTCACTTTCTATTTCTTTCAGTTTCAAACTCTTCGGCCCCGACCGACGCTGACTCAAGTGACATCACTCGAGGACATGTATCAGATCACACAGCTCCTTTAAAACGGACGCAGTCATACTCTCCAACACCTGGAAACACTCAATGATGTCTGAGTGCTCATGCAGATGTTCATGGTTCCCAGAGGATCAATCTTAAGGATTGTATTGTCTTTGAATTTATGAGACTCTCCTGCAGCACGTTATTACCACCCATATTTACATTTCTTTCTACCGGCCATGCAAGCGTGGCAAAGGAGGAAGTCGGGTGACGTATTATTATATAAATAGGCAGAAAGTCCACATAAGGAGGACAAACCCCGGACTTACACTCAGGAGACCAAGTAAATGTTCGGTTATATTGAGTTTTACCTTTTACCTAGTTTTGCTTATGTAACGGCCACACAACACCCACTTTAACCCA